GCCTGAGTCTATTAAAATCAAGGCTTCTTTTTTACCGATTTTTTCTTTTCCTCGTAAGAGCCTTTCTCTTTTTTTATTATTAACTTCTATTAAATTAACATGTTCCATATTAGCATTTGTACTTGAGGGGGTTTCGGGGTTCAATTTTGATTTGTTAGGGCACATCTTTGCTATGTGGCCTTTCTGCCCGCATTTGAAACATAAACCTTTTTGTTTATATTCCTTTAATGTTGCTCTTTTTATAGTCTTGTTAGTAACTATTTTCTTATTTTTTTAAAACTTTACAGCTTCCGTTCTGTCAAGTTCCATTGGTGTCGCTCCTATATTTCCTGGAGCACTTACTCTTGAACCATGATTTTTGAATTCACCCGAAACTTGATATTCCACTTCTCCAACGCCATATATCGCAGTATTATATGTTGTTGCCAAACGAATCGCGTTTTCTAGGTTATCAGGGGACCGATAATTAACTTCAGCCTTGGTGGCTGGCTTTAATCCTTCTGTAAAATAAAGAATCTTGTCGGCTTTGTCCATACTTTCCACTTGTCCAAGTATGTTTCTGAATCTTGAAGCATATTCTTGCACCGTCAAGGTTTGTTTAATATTCCTCAACTGCCTTCTTAAATATTGTTGATGCTGTGGGGGCTGGAATGCCGATTTTATTTCTTTACAAAAATCATTCTAATCGTTGAATGGGTTTTGCCTTTCATGCTCTTGAACTTTATTCAGATATCACTGAAGCGCCGCATCCTTTAAACCAGTTATTATATACTGCAAACGTTCCTTGTCTTCGATTTTACGGGCTTTATACAATAGATCGACTTGGAGTAACCAAGTCATAACATTCTCATCCTCTTTTTCGTAGAATATCAGCAGTTGAACTGACAACCCTTTTGTTTGTGAAGGTTCATAAACGTGAGTTAAACCTTCAGTTGCGTTGCGGCCTTGGGTGTTTTGGTTCTGAAGAATTTGGACAAGTTGAGTATTAACATTATCTTAGTTCATAATGAACCTTTCAACAAACTCATTGAAATGCTGTTGTGCTATTATAAAAATGATCTTCTTGGTAAGTTGCAAAGTC